TGGGTGGGCTCAAGTTCATTCTTTTTTTTTCGCGTGGTGGGGCCCGTCTGCTGGTTATCTCATCCCATTTGGTGGGGCCCGTTTGGGTTGGTGGGGCCCGTTTAGGTGGGGCACGTTTGGTGGGGCCCGTTTGGGTGGGACCCGTTTGGTTGGGAGCCGTTTGGCGGGGCCCGTTTGCTGGTTATCTAATCCCATTTGGTGGTGCTCGTTTGGGTTCGTGGGGCCCGTTTGGGTGGGGCGCGTTTGCGGTGTGGGCGGTCCATTTGGTGGGGGCCATTTGGGTGGTTCCCGTTTGCGGTGTGGGCAGCCCGTTTGGTGGGGCCCGTTTGCGGTGTGGGCTTCTCGTTTGGTGGTGTGGGCAGCCCGTTTGGTGGGGCTCCTCTGCTTCGATCACTTTCATGATGTAGACGGTGACATTATGCAATCACTTTGACACACAACGAAACAATGCATCGTCCACACCAATACATCATTCATCCAGTTTCACTAACTTTGACACACAACGTTAAGGCAAACACACAAAAAATAAATGAAAATTCATTGGCAATATGAAACAACACGATCATCCAACGGGAGAGTAAAATCAGTACAACTGCTGAATGACACAAAAAACATGTCACATAAGAGTCAGATCCCCGGATGCACAAAAGTCTCGTCGGAACAAACTCCTCTCATGTATCATAAATACCACCCACCAAACAAAGTGAAATAGTTGTCACTGCTGTACACTCACAAAAGCGGAGATATAAAAACCCTACCGCAAATAAAGGAAGAACTAAAGTACATGTGACGAACTAAAAGTCATCCTCTAGGATTAAAAAAAAAAAACAGTTGTAAGTAGTGTACACATGTCTCGCAAAACCGAAGACATAAAAACCCTACCACAAGTGACTGCAAAGCTAAAGTACATATGAGCAACTAAGATTGGAAACTGCTGTCACTACAAAAGCGAAGATATACACAACCCCGCCACAAAGAACTACAAAACTAAAGTACATGTGAATCGCGTTTAAGAAAACGAATACGAAGCTCCCTCCGAAAAAATAAGAAATATCCAAATCAAAACCACAGTACATATATCTACCGCCCCCCGCCTCTGCTGCCTCTGCCGCCTCTGCCATCTCTGCCGCCTCCGTCGCCTCCGCCGCCTCTGCCGCTTCGTCCACGTGTCGGTGGTGACATGCGTGCCTGTGCTGCGACCAATCTCTCTCTCTCTCTCTCCATGCGCCTAGCAACCTCGATGGGCTCCTCCTCCGTATCAGCATCCGAAGTGCGCGCCGCCGCCATCCTCCTGCGCTCCCTGTCAAGCTCCTCATGCGACTCCCTCAATCTCGCCTCCTCCCTAGCAATACGAGCCTCCAACTCGTTCATGCTGCTGTGATGTCGCTCTCCATGAGGCGCCGACACTCCATCCTCTCCAAAAGTGTAAAACGCAGGCGCAGCCCTGAGTGAACCTAAAAGCATGCCCCTGCGAGTGCCGTGTCCAAGCGGATCGAGAATGCGATAAGCATTCGTCAAACTCGGTGCCTGCCTGTGCTCCTCCGAGTCCTCCCTCAACCGCGCCTGGTGCGCCGCGAAATCACTCCTCACTCTCTCGTCAACTCGTCGCACTGTGCTCCACGAACGGTGAAATGACTGCTGTGTGTCGAGGCGAGGTGACGACGACGTCGGCACATGGCCTCTCCCGACAGCTCTACCCGTAACTGGTGTCGGAGTGCTGTGGGGCACGGTTGGTGGAGGAGGTGTGAGTGAAGTGATGCGAGCCCTGTGTGCACCCCGAGCCGCTGCCATGGAAGACTCCGAACCATGCTGCTCATGCTTCAAGCTCGCCGGAGAGCCAGAATACCGAGGGGTCACAGGTGGGTACAACGGAGGCGATCGAACCCCGACCCCAAGAGATCCTGCAGCTCCCCTGCTAATCGGATCCTCCACTCCTGCACGGTGCAACGCATCAGGGTCGAGTGGCCCAGGTGTAATCTCCCCCTCCTCCATATCTGCTCTGGCGTGGTCCTGAAGGTCAGGTGGTACCGCCCTCCTCCTCATCGGCACGGTCTCCTCTCTCGACATGCTCTGACGGAGCGTCGTGCGCCACTGATGAAGGATGCCACAACACTAACACCAAAGACGTACTGCCTCCGACCTCTTCCGGATCATCAGTCTGCAGGTCCATGTCGTCACCCCCAATGGGGCCGTGTGACAATCGACCTGGACCGGCACTAGGCGGCGGTGAAAGTCGCCCCGCAGTATCCGCCCCATCATCGGCTTCCACACCGGGTCCACGCCCTCTGTCCCCATGCTCGTCAGAATCACCCTCCATACGAACTGCCTCCTCAGTCCGTACATCATCAGGCCCCAACGTGTCTGCCGCACGAAATCCAAGTACGACGTCGGACAAGGCAGGATCTCCATGCTCTGGCACGGTCGGATCACCGTGCCCCTCAGTCTGTGCAAGGTCAGGTGCAAATGGATCGCGATGCTCCACCCCACCCGGATCAGGTACTGCAGCACCGGTCTCCAAATCCCGAGCACGCCGCTGCTCCGCCATGTACACGGCTCTACCCGCCCACTCTCTCCGCAACACCTCCAACCGCTGCTCCTCCTCTCGATCCAAGCGGGCATGGAGCTCCTCCGTCGACTCTGGTACACCAGCCTCCGTAGGACGATACTCAACGCCATCCCCCACTCTCTGTCCCCTGTGGCCCCGTCCTGGAAAACCGGTGTCAGAAAGTCCGTGTCCGAGTCCAGGAAAGTCACTCGTGCGTAGGTCCGTCTGCTCCCTGTCCCCTGGAGGTGCCGAGGCGGGTGTGTGCTGGCTCGTCATATGCGGCTGTAATGTCATCCAGGTGGCCGGACACCTCACATCTGACGCCCGTGGAAGAGTCGGCCTGCGTCTCTCTCTCTCTCTCTCTCTCTCTCTCTCTCTCTCTCTCTCTCTCTCTCTCTCTCTCTCTCTCT